GTCCTGTACTGCTTGGAGCAAGCTACGCTTGGCAGCCTGATACGCCTGCAACTGTCCCCAGCTCGCTTCTCTGCCTGGGTTGCGCATATCTCTCATGTCCTGGGAGTCTAGAGTAAAGGTGACTTACCTACCCTCCTACTCCTCCACACCTCCTCCCCGTCCGACCCTTCCCCAACCCCCCCCATCCCCCCCCCCCCTTCCCCCCCTTTTTTTTTTCTTTTTCTTCTCCTCTCTTCCCTTCTTTTTCATGCTTATTCTTAAATTCTTAATTCCCATTTCTCCTGCTTTCTTACTCAGAGTTTAGCTTTCATTCTCCCCTTTCTATTTTGGGTACACTTCTCTACTCATAGGAGCCCTACTCCCTATCTGCAATCCAGCTGCGCATATGTTTTACTTTTACATATCTCCTTTCCCGAACCCTTTACCCACGTGCTGGCAACCTGTAGTGGGTTACCTCAGTTTCATCAAAAGTACAAGGCCATATCCTACAAGCCCTTGCACCCCCCCCTCCACACCTACTGTATACATTTCCAATGCATACCTTTGACTCACTGGCCCTGCTCTTTGCTGCTGCTCGGTAACTGAGGTTATATATCATGGACCCTGCCAGTGCTGTGATTCCAATATGCTGAATAAGGGCTTGAGACCAGATATGCCTTTAATGTTCCTGCACTCGCATGTTCTCATTTTTCCCCTGTTTTCTTTTCCCTAGGATGACTTACATCTGATTCTTTGTCTATGTATTGCTATGTATCTTTTAGTTCACTGTATGTGCATTACCTCCTATTGTATTTCCGACTGATACCTTGTATTACCTGTACTTATTGTATGCTCTGAGTTTATTAATAAACTTTATGGAAAAAAAAAATGTCATCTGTGTGGTTTACCAGATAAAGTCAATAATAAGGTGAATGGTCCACAGTTGTAACAGTACACCCCCTTTAGCAGTACACCTTATCATAGGACTAGCTCTGTCTCAATGCAAGAGAATTAGTCTATGGCCCTATGCAAGTTCAAGCTGGATTGGAACTTACACGGAACATCTTCACTCCCATTTCCAGTGGCTGAACAGAGAGGGAGGGTAGTATAGAAAGGTAAAACTGCTGCACTGGGGGGGGGGGGGGGGTTTGAATCTTTTACTTTACACTTTATGGGCAAAGAAAAGGTTCACATTAAAGCTAATCATATTAAAATGGATGTATAGCAAAAAAAAAAAAACCCTCTTTTTTGTTTTATATAAAGAAAAATGTAATCACTATCAACTAGTGTGAAGAGTTACGCTGCTCGTCCACCCACTTGTGTGCTCTCTGCCATTCAGAATGCTTGTATTACTATTCTAACACATTATGTTCTGTGAATGGAGGAGCAGCTGACTAACAGGATCTCCAATGACCATTCACAGAACACCATGCAATGTGGGAGAAGTTTCCCTTATTCTCTGTCTTGGTGGCAAATACAGGGGTGAATCTTCCTCTCTCTCCGCAGCGACAAGGACATCAATAAAAATCTAAAAAATTGTATTAAACTTTTAAACTGATCGAATACAAAACACATACTATATATATATATATATATATACACACACCGCTCAGCATGAATGAGTACACCCCAACAGATTTGTCAGAAAACCTTTACTTTCCTTTCAGAACCAACATTTTCTATTTGACACTTATACTACAAAACATTCCCAAAAATGTGGGTCATTGTTTGTAAACATTTATTAATTTGCACACACAAAATATAATTTTTCCAAAATATTTCATTCAAGACCATGTTGCAAAAATGAATACACCCCATTGAAAGCTCTAGGAGCAAAGCTAAATTTTAGACAAAAAAGTATTGACAAAAATTCAACTACAGGGGAGTCTAATTATTCATTAAAACAGGTGTCCAGCAGACAGTTGATTATAAAAGGGCATTACTTAACAAAGAAAACCCCTTTCCATTTCATGCTATCAGCAGTGGCACCACATGGAAGAGAAATGTCACAAGGCCTGAGAAAGCAAAATAATTTCTTTACACAAGAAAGGTGATGGCTACAATAAGATCAGCAAAGCTTTACTTATGAGTCAGAATACTGTAGAAAAAGTGATACAAAAATTTATGGAACTGTAACCATCTCACAGAGACGTCCAGGCCATCCACAAGAGTTAACACTTCAACGAGAGCATCTTCTGATGAGAAGGATTAAAAAAAATTGCCATGCAAGTTCACTGCAGTTAGCTAAAGAAGTAGAAAGCTAAGCTGGAGTGATTTTTTTTCTCATGGCACAATACGGTGTATGCTGCAGAGGAATGGCATGCATGGGTGTTGTTCATGAAGGAAGCCTCTCCTAAAGCCCATGCACAAAAAAAAGCCCACCTAGAATTTGTCAAGGCCCATGCTGAAAAATAAGACGACTACTGAGACTGATGAGACCAAGGTAAATGTTTTTGGAACTGATGGCTTCAAACCAGTATGGCATAGCAAAGGTGAGGAGTACAAAGAAAATGCATGGTGCCTACAGTGAAATATGGTGGTGGCAGTATCCTTCTGTGGGGCTGCATGAGTGCTGCTAGTGTGCTGGAGCTGCATTTCATTGATAGTATCACGAATTTACAGGTGTTCTGCTCTACAGTATATTGAAAGAGAAGATGCTACCATCACTTTTTGCCCTTGGTCGTTGTGCACTTTTCCAACATGACAATGATTCAAAACACACATCTAAGGCCACTGTTGAATTTCTGAAGAAGAACGGGTGGGGGGGGGGGGAAAGTGATTCAGTGGCCAAGTATGTCTCCTGAAACTGATTGAAATCAAACACCTATGGGGAATTCTGAAGAGACAAGTTGAGCATCACTCTCCATCCAGCATCCAGGCTCTACAAGAGGTACTTCTTGAATAATGGAAAAAGACAGATGTTGCAACATGTTGCCAACTTGTTAATTCCATGCCTAGAAGACTTGTTGCTGTCCTTACAAATCATGGAGGTCATACAAAATACTAGATGTAGTAGTTTTTGTTGTGGGGTGTATTAATTTTTGCATCAACCAATTTGAGTAAAACTGAAGATTTTGAAATCTAAGTTATATTATTAACGTCACTTTCATGTAATGAGCAAAACAAATGCTCTTTAAAACTCAGCAAGAGACGGAGTGGAAAATTAAGCAGGAAATAGAGCAATTCTTTGAAGAAAATGTCTCTGAGGAAGTGTCGGTAGCTACGGTATGGGAAGCACACAAGGTTTATATTAGAGGTATTTTAATAGCGATAGGAGCAAAAAAAGAAGAGGGAAAAAAGAGAAAAAGTAAAAACACACTCTTAAGGGAACTTTGTGATTTAGAGCTGACACATAAAAATAGAGTAACAAAAGAGATTACGCAGAAGATATTAAATAAAAGAGAAGAATTAAATAACGTCCTGGAGGAAGAGAAGAGGAGAGTGTTTAATAAAATGATAACTGAGAGGTATAGATGGGGGGATAGACCAGGAAGTATTTAATGAGGGCTCAGAGAAAAAAAAAAATCTAGGAATTATATTGAGAAAATAAGAGATAATAAAGAAGAGTTCGTTCATTCAACCAAAGATATAGTCAAAGTGTTTAAAGAATATTACAATAAGTTATATAATATTAAGCCCCAGGGTACTATAGGAGAAAATTAAGTTAGAGATAAAGAAAAAAGACAGGCATATTTAAAAAAGGCAGGACTACTGAAATTAGGTGAAGAACAATTAGAATCCCTTGAAACGGCAATAACGCAGGAAGAAATACACCTTGCATTAAAAAGTACAGTAGCGGGGAAAAGTCCAGGACCTGATCGGTATACCGTGAGATATAAAAAAATATGAAGAAATTCTATTACCTAAATTGAGAATATATATAAATTCTTTGGGAAGAGAGATGGAGATGAGAAAGGAATCCCTGCAAGCTCATGTTGTTCTCATACAAAAGGAAGGTAAAGATAATACTCACTGCTCAAGCTATAGACCGATTTCCTTATTAAATATGGACACTAAATTATATGCAAAAGTTTTGTCAAGTAGATTGAAGGACTTAATGCCAAGTTGGATACATATAGATCAAGTGGGATTTGTACCAGGGAGAGAGGGTAGAGACAATGGTTTAAGATCTTTGTTCCTTATACAAAAAAGTAGGAAAGAAAAAAAACTCTGGTGTTGGCACTTTCGATTGATGCTGAGAAAGCATTTGATAGAGTAAATTGGGGATATATGTTAGATACCTTAGAAGTAATAGGTATAGGACCCAGAATGAGAGAATGGATTAGGAAATTATATAGCCAACCCTCGGCAGCAATAATGGTAAATGGGGAATTATCCGAGTATATTGAGATGCAGAATGGAACAAGACAGGGATGCCCTCTGCCCATTGTTATATGTCCTATCTTTGTAATCTCTTTTGGCTACTATTAGGAATAATATAGATATAAAAGGAATCTGGGTAGGAGAAATCGAGCATAAGGTGGCAGCTTATGCAGATGACATGTTGTTCTATGTAGAAAACCCAAGGATAACATTACCAAACCTAATGCAATCTTTAAAAGAATATGGAGAAATGTCAAACTTAAAAATTAACCCAACTAAAACAGAGATCTTAAATATAAACCTTAGAAATAGAGAGAAAAAAATGTTACAGGAGGAATTCCCTTTTATTTGGAGAGAAAGAGATCTAAAATATTTGGGTATAAAACTTACTGTATCTTTAAAGAACTTATATAGATTAAATTATATCCCACTATTAAATGAGATTAAGGACAAAATAAAGAAATTAGGAAGAGGATTTCAGTCATGGATTGGTCGGATAAACTTGCTAAAAATAGTAATCGTTCCTCCTAAAATTCTATATAAATTTCAAATGATACCAATTAAGCTCCCGGAGGCATATTTTACAAAAATTAAAAAACTTATAACATCATTTATACGGAGAAATAAGAAGCCCAGAATAAGCTATGAAATCTTAAGTAGAGATAAAAGAAAAGGCGGGATTGGGGGTACCGGATATGAAGAGATACTATAACTCAGTAATATTGGCAAGAATTTTTGATTGGACACATAATGCACAGGGAAAAAGTTGGGTAAATTTAGAAAATACATTAAGTCACACGAATTTAGGTAGAATCATTTGGTTACCTCCTCAATTTAGAGGATTAAAAGATAGCACAAATTTGTTTACACATAATGTTTTGAGAGTTTGGGATATTTTACATAAACAAAGGGGGTGGGAATTTAATTCCTTGTTAATGCCCCTGGGATCTACAGAGTTTTTTCCTCCAGGTAAAGAGAGTATTACATGGAAGTGGATAAAGAAGAACGATGTTCAATTTAAAAGATATAATGGTGGGAGAAGAATTGTGTCCACTTAGAGAACTGGAAAGTAAGAGGGATATAGTTACGAGGATGGGATGAATGGAGGTATGGACAACTAAAACATTTTGTAGGTAGTCTCTCAATGCCATTAAGAAAAAAAAAGACTGGAACCCCTTTGAGCACTTATAAGATACAAGAGGAGATGGGAAGCATGGGATCACTAAAAATATATAACATTCTCACAGAATTAATCACGGCTACAAGGCCACTATTTATAGAGAAGTGAGAAAGGGATTTAGAAGTAATAATTGATGAGGGAAAACAAAAGAAAATATATAGTTTAATTCACAGGAATGTAAATATGAAGGAAACGGAAATTAATTATAAGTGTTTAGTAAGATGGTATATTACACCGAATGTAGCACACAGGATAAGTGGAGATAACTCACCTTTATGTTGGCGGGGATGTGGAGAGAGAGGTACAATGATACACTTATGGTGGGAGTGTCACAAAATTCAAGAATACTGGGAGGGCATAGTGAGTATAATTCAAGAAAAATAACAGAGGTAAATATTCCTAAGGACCCCGAGACTTGCCTTCTTTTTGGTACCGAGTTTTCGGTTTTCGTTAAAAAATATAAAAAAAACTGGATTATTGTATTATCTAAATGCAGCGAAAGGGACTGATACCCAAGTTTTGGAGGAAACAACAGACACCGAAAATAAAGGATTGGGTAGAAAGAGTGGAGAAGATATACAGAATGGAGGAACGTTGCCATATGGAGGAAGATAAAATGGAGGTATTTTGTACAAGTTGGGAAAAGTGGGTACAGTTTAAAAAGTCAGAGGCATACCCAGAATATGTGAAATAGGGAAAAGAAGGGAAAGGGGATAATTATGGTACAGTACAATACCAGTAACAGCTAAGGATCAGGATTTCTAGAATTAAGTTAAAAATGCATACTCAAAGGGGGGAGATAGGAAAGGGGGAGGGGTAAAAGGTCACCGAGAGTAAGGTTATTTCTGGGGAGTGTTTATGACAGAGATGTGTGATGTATGCTGTCTGTTTTATTAGCTTTTGTACATTTGATATGGTGATTTGAAAAACAATAAAAGATTTAAATAAAAAAAAAAAGTTAAAAAAAAAAGGAAAAAGCCAGATGTTGCAACATGTTGCCAACTTGTTAATTCCGTGCCTAGAAGACTTGGTGCTGTCCTTTTAAAATTATGGAGGTCATACACAATACTAGATGTAGTAGTTTTTGTTGTGGGGTGTATTCATTTTTGCATCAACCAGTTTGAGTAAAACTGAAGATTTTGAAATCTAAGTTATATTATTAACTTCACTTTCACGTAATGAGCAAAACAAATGCTCTTTAAAATTCAGTTTTGTCATAATTTGGAAATTGTTCTTGTGTTCATTGAGATATTGTTTTAAATCTTACTGTTCAAAAGGGGTGTACTCATTTATGCTGAGCACTGTATATGTATATACACACACACACACACACATACATATATATATATATATTATATATATATATATATATTATTATAATTTGCACTTACATGCACGTGAACTTTAATGGCATCCCAGTCTTAGTCAGTTAGGGTTCAATATTGAGTTGGCCTACCTATTGCATCTATAACAGCTTCAACTTTTCTGGAAACACTATCCACAAGGTTTAAGAGTGTGTCTATGGGAGTGTTTGATCATTCTTCCAGAAGCACATTTGTGAAGTCAGGCACAAATGTTGGAGAAGAAGGCCTGGCAAACATTCTCCACTCTAAATTCATCCCAAAGGTGTTCTATCAGGTTGAGTCAGGGACTCTGTGCAGGCCAGTCACTTCAGAGAAAACAGCTCTAGAGTCCAGTGGTGGCATGATTTACACCACTGTATCTGATGCTTTGCTTTTCACTTGGTGAGGTAAGGCTTGGATGCAGTTGCTCAGCCAAGCAAACCCATTCCATGAAGCTCTCTATGCACTGTTGTGCTAATCTGAAGGCCACACGAAGTTTGGAGGTCTTTAGCTATTGACTCTGCAGACAGTTGGTGTCAGGGCTCCCAGGTATGACCAGAGGTGTGTGACTGATGCAGGGAAACGCAGACTTCAGGTATGTGATAAACAATACAATTTATTAACACTAACCATACAAACATAAACGCAGTGCAATACTAAACATAATACAGTGCAAACAAACCAAACCAAACCACCCACACAGATAACAGTACATACAAGCAAGCGTCGTCAGGCAGGTCGGGTCAATATCAATTGGGCAGGTAGGTACAGGGGGAGCAAGCAGAGAATGGTCGGGGTCACAGGCCAGGTTCAGCAGGTAGCAAGCAGCGTAGTACAGAGGGTCAGGCAGAGGGATGGTCAGGGTCACAAGCCAGAGATCAAAACAGGTAACAAGCAGCGTAATACAGAGGGTCAGGCAGAGGGACAGAAACAGGATGCA